CAACTAAAAAAAATAAGTGTTTTCCAGGCAGATGCACGACATCTCTCTCTAAGTCCTTGGCCCTGCTAAGTGATAAACGCAGGGTGCTTAGCATTTTCCAAACACGTGCATCCATCTGGATGTCCTCTCATTTGCTCCACCTCCAACTTTCATGCTACAAGTTTTTGTGTGTTGTGGGGTTAGGTATGGAAAGGAAGGGGGCTGTATTTTTTTAACAGAAAAACTATGATTGATTTGTACAAGATTTTCTCTGGCTATGTCACAGGCAAAGGAATAAATGAGTACACTGATGGAAATACTTGGGTTGTGGGTGACCAAAACAGGGTTGGTCATGCAAACAGTGGGGATAGGACAGAAGTGTGTGAGGCAGACAGGAACTATGACACATGAAAAGGTAGAGGCTGAGAGACCCATTGCTACCAGGAGAGACTCAACAGGAAGTAGACACCAGGGAAACAGGAAGGGGCCAAAGCACATGACCACTCAGGGCGATAAGGAATAGTGAGAAAGCCAGGCAAAATGCCAGGGGCAGAAATGACCCTGGACTTGGTTTAAAGAGATGATATAACCAATAAACATGGGATCCAGTGTGAAGTCTGATATGGGTTCTTCTGTGTAGACAAAGTCTGTTTTTCTTAGTTTGATCTATCTGATCAAAGATACTTCATTAATAATAAAATAATTTTGTGATAAAACAAACACTACAAAATATGAAAATTTAAGGAAGACCATATGAAGGAATTTTTAGTTTCACAACAAATTTAGAACAGGTTTTGTTGTTGCAGATTGGACTCAGAAATGAGAGCAAGACATGGGTATTGGGTGGAGTTTATATTTCCTCGTTCTACCTTGCTGCTTCTGAGTCTTTGGAAAAGTTTTGGGATCCTTCTGACTTCCCCCAGGAAAGCTCAGGCTCTGGCCCCTGGTGCTGTGAGCCAGGAGACTAAGTATCCTCATAGGGACCGCTCCAGCCCAGGCCACAGCAAGAGCTACACTCTACTCCAGCATTTGGCAACAGTAAGCCTTGTCAGTGACCACAGGCTACCCTCACTTGGGCCTCTCAAGCCCAGGGTTCTGTTATCTGAACAGCACTCAGTGTTCCATGAGTGCAGCATAATGCTTACAGACTAGACTGCCCAGAATTGGACTCTGGTTTCTGCACTGAGTCACTCAGAATAAACAACACACAAAAGCTTGGAGAGTGAATAAGTCAGAAGGTGTGGCAGTTCCAGGGTTATTTCTACAACTGAATGACGTGATCTGAGACCCAGGCTCTTTTCAGCTCCCTGCTCTTTCCAACAGTTAGATTGCTGGTCGTGGGCTTGTTGCCTCGTGGTCACAACGTGGCTGCTATTGCTCAAGTCTCTGTTTTTTAATGATGGTGTTCAAAGCAGATAGGAAGGAAAGGAGAAGGCCTCTGTCTCGTTTCTACATTCTTTCTTTGCAGAAAGGAACATGTTTCTCAGAACTATTCTCCAGCCTTCACCTCTCCCACAGAACAGGATCACCCGACCTGCAAACAAGTTTGAAAAGTAAACACACACATGCCTTTTAAACCTCTGCTGTGGGAAGCACATTTTACTTTCAAAGAAAAGAGAAGGAATGACTGTGGGTAGACAACTCTGTTACCTGTTGCCGCAATAATGCTGCATAACGAATCACTCTAATACTCAGCAGCTAATAACAAACATCAACTACTTTTCATTGATCGATGGGTTGGCTGGGCAGTCCTGCTGAGCTAAGCCAGGGTCAGCCGGTCCCAGCTGGGCTTGCTCATGGGTCTGCAATAGGTAGGTTGATGGGTTGGCGAGTGGCCAGCTGGTCTAGAATGGCCTCCGTGAGGATGTCCTATCTCAGCTCCATGTGGCCGCTCACCCAGAGCAGACTAGCCTCGGCTTGTCCCCATTGTGGAATCAGGGGCTCAAAAGAGAAAGCAAAAAAGCACACAGGTGTTCTTGAGGCCTAGGCACCGCGCACACTCACTTCCACCATAGCTCTTGGCCAGAGAGAGTAGCGAGGCTAGCCCTAAGTCAAGGGGAAATCGACTCTGCCCCCTTATAGGAGGAGGGGAAGTCACATTGAAAAAGAGGTGGGTACAGAGGAGGGAGAAGCAGAGCCATTTCTGCAGTCAGCCTATCACAGCAATCCACAGAGCTGTTGTAGGCTCTTATTAGACGTTCGGCCATAGCAAGTATTTCAACCTCTCAGCCTCAAATCCCCCATCTGCAAAATGGGAATAATAATGAACCTAACTTACAGGATTGCTATGAGGATTATATATATAAAACAACCTATATCAAAGAGCTTACAAGAATGTCTTCACTTAGTAAGTAACCAATGTTAGACCTCATGATTGTTGGCCAATGACTGACCATTGCAGCCCTGGGCTTAACTATCTTATGAGCAGGTAAGAATAACTAGGGCCCAGCCAGGGTAGTTCAGTAGTTGAGTCCAATCTATACACTAGGAGGTCACAGTTTGATTCCTAGTCAGAGCAGGGCACATGCCCGATTGCAGGCTCGATCTCCTGTGTGTAGTGTGCAGGAGGCAGCCAAACAATGATTCTCTCTCATCATTGAAGTTTCTATCTCTCTCTCCTTCTCCCTTCTTCCCTGAAATCAATAAAAAAAAAAAGAATAACTAGGAATTCCGATGCTGCAAACAAAGAGCATGAATTTCACCCTCACATGTCCTCAGATTCTCTTTGCAAGTCATGATAGGGCTCACAGATGGGTCTTAGTGGAAAAGTTGTCCCATGCTCTAAATTAACTAAATTCTTCTTGCTAACTAGGATTTAACTCAGTTGTTCCTATTCACTGAAAAAGGGCTCATGTGTTGTCAACATGTGAATGTCACTAATATTTAAATTACTCACTTTCATAAAAGTAGTGTTTCACACTGTTTGTGCCCTGTAACCTTGGAGCTCCCTAGGGGTAAGGCCTGATTAGTCTGGACCAAGTTGCCACAATGCCTTAAGGGTGCGCTAAACCGAGTGGGTAGGGAGAAGGTCTCCTGGGAGCATATCGTTGCCTGCAGGGCCTCTGCTTCCCGGATAGTCCGGTCAGGAGCTCAAGTGAGGGCTGGGGTGAGCTCAGGCCAGCATAGCTATCTACTAAGCTCTCTGCTCCTCTAGGGCCAGATAAATGAGGAAGCAGATTAATACAGCACCCAACTGTGAAACAGACTCATTTGACCTTGACCCCAGATTTAACAGTACATTGTCTGTGTAGGTTTACAAAGCTCAGTAATCACAGACAATATAGATGCATATGCATATGCATTAGCCATACAACACACAAACATATGCAATTATAAAACTGAAACAAGTTTCCCTGACCAGTACCTACCTTTTGTACTAGTATATGCAATGACCTCTGGTATTTTCTTGCCTATTGTATTCTTTTTTCTTTTTTTTTCTTTTTTTTTTTTTGGTATTTTAAGTTTTTGAAATGCTGCTCAAGATCAATGAAATTGGTTGGGAAATGTTTGAACTATTTTGAAAAACACTGATTCCTGTGCCATAATGTAAGGCGCATTGACCAAACTTCTCTCTGTTTCCAGAAGTTTTCTTGATACCAGAGGGCAGTGTCAGAGAGTTCTGGGGCTGAAGCAGTCTTTTGTGGTGGTTAAAGAGCAAGGAGTCTGCAGGGAAAATGCTCAGGCTCAGAACCTGGCTGGGCCCCTTGTTACCGATGTGACTCCAGCAGAGTTATTTAATCCCTCGAGCTTTGGTTTCCTCCTGAAAAAGCAGGGATGATATTACCCTTTCATCACTGTTATGAAGATGAAATGAAGTCACTTGGCATAGCACCTAACACAAAGTAACTTGGATAAATATTACCTATTGCCATTCCCTCAGGAGGCATTGTCAGTCTTTAACCCCCTGGTGAAGCTACTTGGTCCAACATTTTTCTTAGGAGAACTAGCCGGCAGGGTGGTGTGTGATGGGACGCAGCACAGTTTGTACAGAAAGGTCAGCACCTTGGGGCAGCCCTGGGTGGGACCCGCAGAGGAGGGATGGGGGTGGGGGAGAAGTTCCACCAGTGAGGAGGGATTAAGAAAGAAGTGGCTGGAGGCTGCCAGCTCTTGCATAGATGTGCCCAGGCCTTTGATCTTGTGGAAGAGTTTTAATAGGTCTCCATGAGGCAGACGGAGGTAGATGGCCCTCTTTCCAAAAGTGTAGCTTTATAATACATGTGCTTGAACTTGCAACGAACGCATAGGAAACCAGCCCCCAGTGCTACATTCATGCAAGTGAAAAAGAACAACGTTGCTGGCAAAGACAACGCTGCCCAGGGCAGCAGGCAGCCAGCCTGATGAGCAAGCCCCCTCTGCGAACCCTGCTCGATCACCCATGCTGACCCTGCTGGAACTCGACTAATCCGGAGTTACCTCCTTTCAGGATGCCTCATTCAGGATTGCCTTCAAATCCTGTTCCCAAAGGGGGCAAGTCCTCCACTGCCCAAGCTAACTTGGATTTGGGAAGCGGTCAAAATTGTTTTGATCCCAGAGGTGGCAGCAATGAAAATGTCCCACTCAGATCTCCGGCTGCTGGGAGCATAATTGACTGACGGCCCAGCTGCTGCCTCTTGGGATCCACTGTACTTCCGCCGTGTGGCTTCCAGACAATGACTGAGCATCATGGGAAATAAAGGCAGGCCCATTCCAGCAAGACATGGGACTCCAGGGCTCCCTTCAGCCCAACTGAACATTCCTTAGAACTGTGCTGCAGTCTGATATTCTTCCCACCACGGCCTTCCTCCTTCCCTCCCTCCTGCCACGGTGCCAGACCTGCAACACGGCCGGATGGCTCTGCCGCCTTTCGTGCTTCCTCCTTTCCCTGCACTTCCACCACCTTCTAGGCATCTGCTTCCCAGCAGATCCAGACCACAGTGCCAGGTTGGTGAGAGAGGGGGGTGGTCAATCTGTTAACACACATTTAGGGCAAAAGCAAGAAGTGGCTATAAAATAAATAAGATGACTTTTCTTGTGTAACTGAGAAAAAGGACTTGGTGGATATTGGTGAACTATTAAATGAGGCTCTGAAATAAAGTAATGCCATCTTCCATCGTTTGCCCCAAATGCCTACTGGTTCAGGACTATAGAGTGGACCTGCAAGTTATCCTTGGGAATGCCCAGAGGGAGTCCTCACATCTGCCTGTCGGTTCTCCTTCTGCTCTGGCTCCCACTGCTCCACACCTGCCTGCAAAGCCACGGGGAAATGATCCATTACTTCTATTGCCCATCCTGGGAGCACCAAGGCCCAACTGTGCCCCAGGGGCCACTTCAAGGTGCCCCAAATCCTCTCATTCCTCTTGAACCTGAACAGGGCCGAGTCATATGAAGAGGCCAGGAGAGGCGAAGAAAAGGGTGGTCTTCTCTCCAATTCTGTCATGGTGTTGACTTAGACCTACCCATAAGCCTCCCTATGACCACATAAGGGACGTTTCATCAGTTTCATCCCTTTTATTCACAAGGAGCTCCAAATCAGTCCAGGGAGAGACGGCCCCTCCCAGGGCTGGCTAATTCCCAGGGATAGCAAGTAACTCAGCTGAGAGCATGCCTTTCATTCAGTATCTCCAAATATCTTCAAACTCTGTCTCTAAAATGAAGACAACTGCTGACAGGAATAAACAAATTGAGAAGATGGACATGAGATAATTTGTAAACAAAAGAGGGCTATTCAAATATAATGAACTAGCCCTGCCAGAGCCTGTACCTACCAACTACCTGCTCCATCAGGGTCTGCCAAGTTGAGCCACTATCCGCTCCAATCACCCCAGGTCTAGGTACAGACCTCCATCCCAGAGCTTGCTGAAATCATTCACACGGGCCAATCCCAAACCTGCCTAGCCTGCTCACCCAGACTTGCCCATTTCTTCCCACAAAAACCACGATACAGGGTCTTGCCCATGCTTTCCCTTGTTCCTTCTGTCTCCTGCACAACCTGGAGCTTCCCCGTGTGGCCCCACAAGGCGTGGGATGACCCCTCCTCTTGGGAACTGTGAGTGACAAACTCTCTTTTCAATGGCCATCATCTCCTGATCGGTTGGCCTCACCATATCTAACTAATAAAATAACCTACATTTTAAAACAGACAGATATTGAAGAGATTTCCATACAAGGGCATCTACACCAGCAAGAGCCAAACCCACATTTTTTTTTGGTTATATTTGAATAGCTCCCTTTGGTTTACAAAGTATCTCATGTTCACCGTCTTAATTCCTTTAATTCTATTAGCAATCGTCTTCGTTTTAGAGGCAAAATTTGGAGATATTTGCACAGTGGCAACATTATTGGAAGAAGTGTATACTTTCTGTGAGGCTGTGTGAGAGGGACAGGGGGCAGCAGGCAGAGCCAGGCTCTGTAGTGCTGGTTTTAAACAGATCTCAAAACACACCAATGAAAACACCATCACAGCCTCTAAGGCTTCCTGAGCATGTCTGAGTGCCAGGCATCAGTGCAGGGAATTTCCATACATCAGCTCATTTAATCCTCATGTCTGTGCTGAGATCGATCCCCAAAGTACTGACAATTACTTGCCGGGCCTTACAGATCTGAAATTAACTGGCTGAAAATTTATTTCCATACAATGTTAGAGCCCCAAATATCTTTGGCAATCTATTTTACAGATGAAGCTAATGTGTTTATGTGTCCTACGCCACCTGAAGCTGTTGCTATTTTGGGATTAAGCTTTTGCCTATTCCCCAAATAAGGCATATGCACCCTGGTTTTGCTAAGTGAGTCCTGATTCCCGTGACCTCTCGCCCCGGTATGTCATACAAGGGAAATGACACCTATTACAGCCATCTCAAACCCCATAATCCATCACACATACTTTGAAAGCACTGAAGGGAAATGTGTTACAATAACCAAACACACCTAGTGTATATCACACGGCTTGCCGAAATATTTCCCATTTACGCTATTTTGAGACCTGGCTCCTAGCCCAGTTCCGACAACAGCGTTCCAGATTCAGTGGAAGGCCATGTGAGCCTGGTCATTGAAAATACAACCCCCCCTCCCCCGAGGGCTATTAGTTATAAGTTTACTTTTGGGTGTGTGTGAGATCCCCTTTGGAGCATTTGCGAAACATGGATTCTGCAATTGTCTCACTTACTGGAGAAAATGTGTGTCCTATTATGTTTCACGGGACAATGGTCTGTGGACGCGAGTCAGCCGTCCCTCAGCGGAATCGGCAGGAACCGGGCCAGGAGCCCCCCCTTAGACTACCTCTCCCTTAGCAACCGCCTCACTCTCCTCAACCCTGGTAACGTCAGCTGTGTTAGTAAGCGAAGGGTCCTAGACAACAGCGTCACAATAGAACATCTCAAAGCCAGCCCCAGGGGCACCAGGAGCTCAGTTCCTGGGCACAACCCCTCAGTGTGTTTGGGTTATAGCCCTCGGTGGCACGGCTCCATCATTGGGCATAGCCCGTCCTGGGATCAAAACCATTGGCCAATGACAACCTGCTGCCTTCTCTTGGCCGGGATGTTCTGAGCAAGAGGGTCATTGAATTTCAATGATGTGGATGAGCTCCATCTTCCTTCCCACCCCTGTATATGCTTCTGCACCAAGTCTAAAACGGAGGGAAAAGGAGACTACTTGGGACAGGACATTTCCCAAGATTGAACAGCTGACTCACATCTATTAAATTGCAGCTTTACAGTAATACACTCTGTACAGAGTGGCCAGATTATTATGACCACCCCATCGCGACTTTGTTGGGCCACCTTCTTGGCATAGAATCACCACAGTATTGAAGGCAAAAGGTGGCCCAGCAAAGTACTGATGGGGTGGTCATAATAATCTGGCTGGTCAGTGTATTTCCCTTGTAACTCAAGGAAAACAACAATGTAACAAAGAACTGGAAAAAAGATTTTGGGGTTCTTTTAAATTGTGCCCAAAGGTCTCTAATTCTAATTCTAATTCTGAAAAAGGAAAGGATCTTGGTCTAAGTCACTGAGTGCGTAGGCCAAACACATTCACAGGATTCTTTGGCATATTATTTGTGCTTTCGATTCTCCCAGTTAGAATAATTTACTGCATCAAATAAAGTTATCATTTTGATTTCACTGTGTCGCCATTCACAACACCATCAGAAACAGCACAATATCATTTACAGTCATAATTCTGTGCTTTCGCAGTTACAGGGTTAAAAATGGATCCAACTAGCTGTTCTTCTAGGTTCTCATTACTTTGTCAAGTGATTGGTTCGGTCAGGACCATAACACCATGTCTCTGGTCAGCCCCTACTTCCTGCCCAACTTTCATCTGAATCCATAAGTTTAGAGGCTTAGAAAAGAGTAAACCCCAAAAAAGATCATTTGTTACGTTCCTCAGAGGCTGTGTGCATCACAGGAGGTCACCACAGGGACTCCCTCCCAGGCAGCTGCCTGGTGGGATGGCTCAGGCAGTGAGTGTGTCACCTGCACACTCGGCACTAAGTTCACACTCACAGGGAGCAAGACTGGACAACAGGGAGCTGCTCAGTCTTCACTGCGAACGTCTTTTCTCCATTTTGCTTTGTTTTAGAATTATGCAGACGGCCAGACTTCGCACCCACATCGCCTGGATCAGACTAACTGCCTGAACGGGAAGCTAGGCCACGTCCAGACCCTTGTTCTCCAGCTGTTCCCACCCCAAGAAGCGGCTGTGCTTCCTCCCAGCCAGCGGCCCAACACAACTTGGAAATGGCTTTTCCTGCATTTTCCAGCAGGGAATATGGAAAG